ACGAATGTAGATCTGGATTGTGTTTAATATTAGCTTTGTGATTTTCCTTATATCCCCTTGTAAAGTAAGAGTTAGGTCCCCTTTCCCCCATAACAGTGTCATTGGCCACCTCAAAAGGCAAAACCTCTATCAGGAATCTACTTTTCCTTAAGTGGGAGGTTACAGGTTTGAATAAACACAAAAGCCTCCTGCTTGCTCTCCTGAGTAGGGAGCAAAGGCAGCAAAATGATGTGATATGTAGACCAAGGGGACAGAAGGTACTGGCTTTACTTTGAAACTTAGATATAAGCATGAACCATACAAGTAAACTTTTGGGTTCAGATCTGCTTGAGTGAATAAAATACTGAAATTCTGCCATACGCAATGAAAAAATAAACTTGTGAGGTTGTGTGAAGAAGTTGTTTTGGGAAGGGAAGTGGAGGAATCTTCCCAAAAATATATCTATAGCTGACACCAGACGGTAAGCTCCTCAAGTGCAGGAGGAATGTTTTCTTGTCTTTGAATCTTCTTCCCAGCCCTTGTATCACCTGACACAGGATACTACTCATGATGTTTTAATGAATGAAAAATCTCTGGCCAAATACTAGTCTTGGCTTATCTACAAGTCCTTGTAGATTTAGAATGAAAGCAGTCAAACTAACAAATGAGATCACAACAAATTATCCCTCATGGCCTAAGGCAAGTGACCCAGGAAGCAGCTGGTATTCTGGAAATGTAAAAACTTGTGATACCTTTGAACAAAAGAAACCAAAAGTGCTTTTGGAAGCCTTTCTCTAGGATCTCTGGAAATGCCACCTTGATGGCTTGGTTTGAGATGCAAAAGTAATGCAGGGCAGGTGAACCCCAAAATTCGGGCTTAGCTCATAAGCATTCTTGGCTTTATTCAGAAACAAATTTAAGCAACTTTATATTGCCTTTTCAGATGACAGATGACACTGCTATGGGGCAAAAGGGGCTTCATTCTTACTTTAAGAGAGGAGGTAAGGAAAGTCACAATCTTAAACAACAACCTTTTATTGAACTGGACCTGCTCCACGAGGAGCGGGCTACTTCCTAGACAGCACACCCAAGAGCTGGACTTGGTGGAATCTCGGCAACTCTAATTATATCCACTTATACCCATGTTCAATTATATGCAACTTAAGGGGTGGGTGAGTACAAACTGAAGGGCAAGTTATTCACAACTTTCCAGGAAAGGGGCGGTAACTTCCAGGTTGTTACCATGGCATTTGCAAATGGTCATGGTGCTGGCAGGAGTGTCTTATGCTGATGAGCAATGAGGGCAGCTAGGGATTGCTTTAGTAGCTATTGGCTGCCTTCAGCCAATTTCTTCCCTTCATCCTGTCTGTACCAGGTCTTGTGTTAGTCATCAGGGTTGGGACCAGAAAAGAAGTCCTGCTGGTCCCATAGCTCAAAAGCACAGGTGCAGCCAGGAATGCACCTATACTGACATCTGTGGCCAGCCAGCCCATTCAGCAGAAGAATCTGTGAGGAGCTTCGGCTCATGTTTGTGATAACATTTGGCTTTTCTCCCAAATCCTTGTACCTTATCCTCCCCTCAAGCCACAAGCTGTTCTGATTTAGTGAGTTTAGCAAAGACGTCTTGCATTTTAGGCGGAAGCGAGCATCTCATTTTCTTACATCTTTCAAACTGAAACCCTCCAGGTTGAGATGAGAAGGCTTCCAAACTGAGGACAGAACATGGATTGAACCAGAGGCTGTTATGTTAAGTGAAATAAGCCAATGCAAAAATGCATCATAGAGACAGCCAGTGAGCTACAAACCATGGTTTAAATGATGCAGTAATGACAGAGGAGCAAGGCATTTTCTGGGGATTAATAGCTAGTTGGAGCAAGACAAAGGTCCACAATATTGCCAAGGGATATTAACCCCAGCTGGTGTTTCAATTCTAAATTGCCTACAATATGGCAGTGATTGCTATTACATGAGTAGATTGCTGTATGGGAGAGGAGATTATTTTGAACATAAGAATAATATCATTGTTATATAAAGAGCACAACTGGAAGCATTTAACTTTGGATGTGGAATCACTATTACAACTCTGCCCATAATTGCTTTTCAAGAGTTATTAAATACTCACCTGTGCCATGCCTCTGACCTGCAATGCAGGACTTGGGTATCTTTGATGCTGACTCTGCTGATCAGTCTAATAAACTACACTTTCCATTCCTTGGAGCTCCAGAGCATTCTTTAAAAGTGAAGAAGATGTACTTTTTTTTTCCTTCCAAAAAGGGTGGAAGAAACCTTGCTATGGGAGAATACATTTAAAACAAAGAGCAGATTGATCCAGGAGAGGTGATGTTACAGGCTGTTTGCCTACCTCATGATTTGTTAGTGCCCCAGGCTACGTCTGTGCACATGTCTGAATTAAATTGTAGAGGTGAGAGCGTGTCAATATCCCTTTCACATGGACTGTAGCCCTCATTTTATGTTACTACCACCCTTTACAACTTCCTGAACTCTTTACTCTAGTTAAACGGAGAAAGGGTGTCCAATTCAATAATAGAAAGATCTTTCATAATTGGCAACAAATGGATGGTACATGGAGCGGGAGAGTCGTCAAATGACCAAAGCATTAAATGTGTTTATTCACCCTTCATTCATGTGGTCAGACATCCATATTGATTAAGCTCTCCTGTGCACATTGTTCTAGAGTCTGTAGAAGATACAGACATTATATTCCATGGAATATGCCTTCCATTTTCATCTAGTTGGGGAGAAAAGTAATAGAGAAAAATTAAAAATTAAACAACAATGTGAACCTTCCAAAAAAATATGTCAGATACAGTCTCATCTCAGACTTACTGAATCAGTCTCTGAGACTGCTCTCAGGTACGTCTGAAGTTCAGCAAAGCAGAGTGGTCTGTGAACCACCAGAAATGACAGTTGAGATTGGTGATGAGGCTGGGCATGGTGACGCATGCCTGTAATGCCAGCACTTTGGGAGGCTGAGGCAGGAGGATCAATTGAGGTCAGGAATTCAAGACCAGCCTGGCCAACATGGTGATACCCTGACTCTACTTTAAAAATACAAAAATTAGCTGGTGTGGTGGTGTGAGCCTGTAGTCCCAGCTACTTGGGAGGCTAAGGCAGGAGAATCACTTGAACCCAGGAAGCAGGGGTTGCAGTGAGCCGAGACCACACCACTGCACTCTAGCCTTAGCAACAGAGGAAGGGCAAAGGAAGGAAGTGAAAGAAAATTCCCTTAGAGACACATGTTAATCCACATTCTACATCCTAGAGTTCAAATGCCATCTATGATGCATAAGAAACTTTCCTATTTATAAATGCAGAATCTGTAAGAACAAAGCATTCCACCTAAAAACTTTTCATGCAGAGATGGGGTTTTCAAACTATTTGCTTATCAAAGACATGACTTCAAGAACAGTAATATTTTCTATCAATTCTCTATTGAACTTAGAGATTAAAGAAAACTTCTTCATTGGAGGTTTGGGAGCATGGAAATGCATTTGAGAATATAATTATAATCCTTACACACAAGATATAATTACTAGAATTTCTCTTGTTTCTATCAGTCAGGATGGCAAGGAAATTAGATGGAAATCACCAGGTATACACAAGATTTTATGAGCAAAAATTCCTGAATTTTATAAAAACACTCCTGAAACAAACAAAAATGCAACTTTTAGTTAAAATGGAAATGCCAAGAGAGAAGCGCACATTAGGATCACATCCAAAAAAGAATTTTCCCAAATGAGTAGGGTTATTTATTCCAGAGAGTAGGAGTACAAAGAAAGAAACATCCAAAGATATAGTAAGTTTAAGTATATAAAAGTTACATACTATGTCCTGCCCTTACCATGTAGAGGGAAAAGGGTTTAAATAATGGAGGGAAAAAAAATCCACCATAGAGGAGAAAACTTTGTAAAAAAATGTTTAAACAAAATTATTACAGTCCAACAATTGGACTGGACTAATGAGGCCCAAGAAACCCTGTTGTGTGTCTTGTATAAATTGTGAAATGTAATACTTTTTTTTTTGAGATGGAGTTTCATTCCTGTTGCCCAGGTTGGAATGCAGTGGCAGCTCACTGCAACCAGTGCCTCCTGAGTTCAAGCCATTCTCCTGCCTAACCCTCCTGAGTAGCTGGGATTACAGGCACCTGCCACCACACCCAGCTAATTTTTTTTCTTATATTTTTAGTAGAGATGGGGTTTCATCATGTTGGCCAGGCTGGTCTCGAACTCCTGACCTTAGGTGATCTGCCCACCTCAGCCTCTCAAAGTGCTGGGATTACAGGTATGAGCCACCATGCTCAGCCAATACATTTCTTTATAACTTACTGCCAGTTTCTCTCCTAAAATATTTCCCTCTATCTGATAAGAATTTGGTAACCCATTATGTCTCTCCTTTGTCTTTCACTAGCAATAACTATATTAATTCTTTGCTTACTCCTTTTTAGGACTCTGATTTTCTGTTTTTATTTTAAACTTATTATACACAGTCTTTAATTAATGAGACGAATTCTCCTTAGAAAAAGGAAGGAGATAAATGGATGGATGGATGGATGGATGGATGGATAGATGGATGGGTGGGTGCTTGGATGGATGGGTGGATGTTTGGATAGATGGATGGATGGATGGATGGATGCTTGGATGAATGCACGGATGGATGGATGGATGGACAGATGGAAATGCCTGGATGGATGGATAGATGGATGGATAGATAGATGTGGGATGGATGGATGGATGCTTGGATGGACTGATGGATGCTTGGATGGATGGATGCATAGATGGATGTGGATGGATGCATGGATGAATGGATGCATGCATGCTTGGATGGATGTGCAGGTGGATGGATGAATGCCTGGATGGGAGGAAAAAAGGTAAAACAGAGCAAATAAGGAAGGAGGAAATCTTGGCTTGAAATGCAAAACACCAAAAATAATTGGGTGGCTGCCAGTGTAACTTTTAAAAACTTTATATGAAATTTATTAAAATAAATACTTATACTTTCAGAGAAAAAATGATCCCTATGCTCTTGCATCCCTGGTGTCCTTTGAAGTTAAGAAGATGCCTTATAAAGATCAGCCAGCAAAACTCCCAGAAGGAAGCATGGCAGTGAGTATCTTTAAATACATATAGGTACAAACAATTTAATTGAAATCATTGTTTTAATCACTGTCAAGCTTGCGCTGGGCTTTCATGTTTACATTGACTTGAGAAAAGTTTTCCTCTTCAGCTCACTCATTTCTTACATTAGTCTGGAAATTTCCTAGTGCCTTTTGATCTGGTTTTTGAACTTTCAATATAAATGTCTACCCCAAAAAATTACAGGGCAGGACTAATACCATTTTTAAATTAAGACGTTTTGTTCAGAGAAATTCAGATAGCAGTTATCATTACAATGAAATTGTGCTGATTCTTTCATTTTAAACACAGTACGGTGAGTCAAGTAAGAAGGGAAGAAATTCTCTCTTAGGGGGAGTAGGCCATGGAACAGCAGCATGGCTTTGGACAGTCATTGTTTCGTACTATGCAAAGAACCTTTATTTTGACCTAGAGGGGAATAAAAAAGTCTACTCTGACCTTCAGTTGAACGAAACATCTTTTTTAAAAACTGAAACTACTAAACATTACTGACACCCAAATATATATCACAGAACAACTCTGATCATCCTCTGCAACCCAGCAAGGCCATCCAAAGGGGATGAAGGAATGGATGACAAGACCAGCAGGGATTGTCACCAAAATTCTGCCTTTTCAGTTTTTTGTCAAGGTGGTGGGAGACTTGTGAAAAACACAGTGCTCCAAAAAACAATATTAGGATTTCCACCTTCATCCCTTGGTAGTCAGTGGATATTTCCCATCCACAGCTTGAACTGTTGGTCCCCTAAACCTTGTTACTCAAAATGTGATTGCAGATGAACAGCATCAGCATCACCTAGGAGGTTATTAGAAATACAGAAACAGACCTCTCCAGACTCACTGAGTCAGTCTGCATTTTATCAAAATCATCAGGGCATTCCTAGGCATGGTGAAGTCTGAGAAGCACTGCTTTGGATGGTATGTAAGTTGATGCTATTGTCATCTCTTTCTAGCCTAGATCATAAACTTAATTGTAACACTGAATCTTTCTAGCCTAGGCTACTTTCAGTAATTTAAATTAACCACTTGATTGGAGATTTTCAACCCTGAGTATGCAGCAGAATCATCACTCATGCAACTTAAAATAATATATCCATGCTAAGACCTCACCCCAAATATTGAGCAGGTCAGAGGTGGGACCCTGACACTGTGCTTTAAAAGTCTCATGAGGGACAATTCTGCAGCGGAGCCAGGGTTGAGAACATCTAGAACAGGCAGGTGGCCTAGAGGAAAATTCAAGGATTTCAAGATAGAGTCACCTGGGCTTGATCCTGGCTCTGCCTTGCTCTAATTAGGAAACCTTTGGGAAGTCACTTTATCTCCCTGAGACTGTCAACCACATCCACCTGATGAAATTGTTAACGAGATCAATAAGATTATATGTGTAAAGCTCTAGCATTGTACCTGGAACAAGTTAGTCTCAAATCTCAATAAGTGAGAGTAACCACTCAAAATGTCTCCCCTTCTCTGGCTAAGTCTAGTAAGTCCAAATTGAAAATGGCAATTAAGATTTGCACAGGCCAGACATGTTGGCTCATGCTTGTAATCCCAGCATTTTTGGAGGCCTATGAGAGTGGATCACAAAGTCAAGTGAAAGAGACCATCCTGGCCAACATGGTGAACCCCCATCTCTACTAAAAATACAAAAATTAGCAGGGTGTGGTGGCGCATGCATGTAGTCCCAGCTACTCAGGAGGCTAAGGCAGCAGAATCGCTTAAACCCAGGAGGCAGAGGTTGCAGTGAGCCAAGATGGTGTCACTGCATTCCAGCCTGGTGACAGAAGGAAACTCCATCTCAAAAAGATTTGCACAGTGGTGGGAGGATCGATTGAACCCAGCAGTTCGAGGTTACAGTGAGCTATGATCATGCCCACTGTCAACATGGGCAACAAAGTGAGACCTCATCTCTTCAAAAAAAAAAAAGAAAGATAGGTGTGCACAGTAAAAATATCTCAGTAAACTTTGGTGGTATTTAAAGCAAGCACCGCACCATCTTTCTTCATTTAAACCACCTCTCTTTCTTCCAGTGATGTCTTCTTAATTTTGGATTTATGTTCAAACTAGAAAACAGAGGCTTTGGAATTTTAATATAGCAGTTTCATCCAAAAATGTTCAAAGGCTTATAGCGCTAAGGGAAATAAATCTAGTTCCTTTTGTTTTTCCCAAGCACGTGTTCCCTAACAGAAACACATGTTACAGTTGATTCCATCAATAGGATTGCATCTTTCTGCGCTGGCCACAGGTGACAGCCTGCTGTTCTCAACTCATCTCAAAAGATCCACAAAATAATCCGATACATGCAGCCCTGGCATCCCTGTTATTGAATTTAAAAAAAAAAAAAAAGACTTTTTATCTAATGTAGGTGATTTACGACATCATTTATGTAAAGGTTATTGGAAAAAGATTAAGGAATGGAAGCACTTTCAAGTCTTCCAATATCTGACTAACTGGAGAAGACCTTGCCAATGCAAAGTTAGCGATGAAGCACACAGGAAAACTCTGCCTTACTGTGGCTTGATGTGAGAGAATTCTGAGTGGAGCTGGCAGACATTTTTTTATAGTGAGCTCTTCTCAAAGGCCTTGTTATTTTTCTCTCCAAAGGAGCCCAGCAGGGCCAAGAGGGTGCCTCACACCTGTAATCCCAGCACTTTGGGAGGCCAAGGCAGGTGGATTGCCTGAGCTTAGGAATTTGAGATTAGCCTAGGCAACATAGTGAGACCGTCTCTACAAAACACACACACACATACACACACACAAAATTAGCAGGGCATGGTGACGCATGCCAGTAGTCCCACCTACTCGGGTGGTTGAGGCAGTGGGGATCGCTTGAGCCTCAGAAGTGGAGGTTGCAATGAGCTGAGATCATGCCACTGTACTTTAACCTGGGCAACAGAGCAAGACCCTGTCTCGAAAAAAAAAAAAAAATGCCCAGCAAAAAGGGAATTGCTTTAAGGTGGTAGAATCCATTGGAATTGGTAGTTTGAGAAGCATGAGAGCTCTAATCTGCCGCTGAGGAAAGTCATTCTTTGTTCCTCCTTTTGTAATGAGAGTAACTATTTGCTTGTTTTCCTAGACTCTTTCGTGTGATGATTAGTTTGTTTATACTCCCTTTTCAACACAGTCATAATTCAGCCATCTCTTGAGGCCTATATTAGTTTTACCTATGGAATAAAATCACAGTTCCCATTTGCTACGTGCATAGCATCTGTGTTTGTAACAAATAAAATTCCCCATGTTATGTGATGCTTGTCATGTGCAAAAGGCAAGATTGCCTGATTCAAAGAAACATGCCTGAACACTGAATCATTACAGTGCAACAGAAGACGTTAAAATTCAATTATTTGAACCTTTTTTGGCTCACCAAGGAACTTTGGCCTTTGCATATCATCCAACTAATACCCAGTTCTATCATTTACATCTAGCAGAGAGTGGGATTGTCTAGTGTAATCCCAAAGGTGGTTATTACAAACTATTTCTTGAAAATCCTTATTTAAAAATCCTATGTAAACTGTGAACCCATTTGGTGTTCAGAATTGTTAGCAAAACTTCAGCACCTTAATAAGGAACTATTACATTAAACACTTATTTGGAGTTGATATTTATGATGGGAACTGCTTGTCTCATAGGGAAACTGTTTAAATGTTGTCAAAATGTGGGCTCAGCTAGTCCACTTCATGTTATTATTTTGTTCTAAATGGCACTGTAGGTAGGGCGTCTTGGTACGTTTATTTAAAACATTCTTCTGACCCCACTGAAGTATGTTTACACAAGATTTTGTGATACATAAATACAGACGTCAACATTAATTACCACTGCAAATACAAGGGAGCTTTTCTCTTTCTACCTTGGTATTTTTTGTCAAAATATACAAAAACATATCATAAATGTCGACAATAAAATGTAGGCATATTAAAGGTTTATTTATGGTCTTTCCTCCACAATAAAAAAACAACAAGATTTACGACATGATGAAGGTAAGATTAAATGTTCCCTACTTAGAATCATTTTAAGAAAATCTAAACCACTTACAATTTATGAATACTACTTTCTAAAATTACAGATAATTACAATAAAGTGACTTGTTAAACTTACTTAAAGCTATTTTTAAAATAGCTAGAAGTTCTTGATAAGTAAAAATGTATTAAAATAGTTTATTGACTACTTGGCACAAGATTGTTCTCCCTAAATTTAAGTACTCCAGTTACTCAACATGAAACTTTTTTTTTTTTTAATTGTAAGTTCTGGGTTACATGTGCAGAATGTGCAGGTTTGTATACACATGCCATGGTGGTTTGGCATCCATTACCCCGTCATCTACATTACGTATTTCTCCTGATGCTATCCCTCCCCTATCCCCTCACCCCCTGCTATCCCTCCCCTAGTCCCCCAACCCCCAACAGGTCCCAGTGTGTGATGTTCCCGTCCCTGTGTCCATGTGTTCTCGTTGTTCTCAGCAAACTGACATAAGAACAGAAAACCAAACACGGCATGTTCTCACTCATAAGCAGGTGTTAAACAATGAAAACTTTCCTAAAGCAACTGAAATATCTCATCACAAGCCCCCATGCTGAAAGTAAACCTTTAGTCCTAAATACATTTCATCTTCTGCCTTGAGTCCAACTTCTTGGTAAAATAATCTTATAATGAAAGACTTGCGTAATTCAGGCAATTGCACCATTGTGTGAAATTATACAGAATGTTCTAGAACTATGCAGTCCAATATGGTAGCTGCTAGGTACATGTCAATATTGAGTACCTGGAATGTGGCTAGTGGAACGGAATAACTTGTGATTTTATTTCATTTTCACACATTTCAATGTAAACTTAAAAACTAAAGCAGTAGACAATTATTTTTTTTACATTAAACACAGTTGTATTGTTTTCATAGGACTACATTTCACTTTAACCATTAAAAATTTAACAGTTGTTATGTGTTGCAAGTGTGAAATGCACATTGGATTTTGGAGGCTTAG